GGTGTCCGAGGGGCCCTGGTCTCCCCCTTGCCTCCCTGTGACTCGGGTGAGGCCCAAGGTGACCCTTGGCTGCCTTTGGTGCCTGGGGCTCCTCACGCCCCCGAGGCTCCGTCCGCAGACACTGGTCACGCGTGGCCACGGCCCGATGCCGTGAGGAAACCGTTTCCCTGTCTCCCTGGCAGGCGTGACGAGAAGCTGGACCTGCAGTGGAGCCTGGAGGGGCACCAGCTGGGCGTGGTGTCCGTGGACATCAGCCACACGCTGCCCATCGCCGCCTCCAGCTCCCTGGACGCCCACATCCGGCTCTGGGACCTGGAGAACGGCAAGCAGATCAAGTCCATCGACGCGGGACCGGGTGAGAGTCCACTGGGGGCAGGCGCTGGTTCTCAGGTGGCCTGGACCCGGGGCACCCCGAGGCCGGGCTCTGGGTCCGCAGCTCCTGCGCTGGAGCTTGAGAGACAGGCCAGGCCCGGGGGTGCAGCTGGAGGGGGAGCTTCCCCGTCGAGGAGGGGGCGGGAGGGCCTCCCCTCCCCTCGGGCTGCACAGCGTTCCGAGCGGCTGCTCCTGGGCCTGTCGGGCAGGACTGAGGGCGCCCCGTACGTGGTGTGGGGTGTCGTGTAGCAGCGCCTCCCCGTCCTGGTCCCTGTAAATCTGCCACATGTGGTTCCGTGTAGGAGTGTTCCCGGGACACCTCCCTCTGGTCACCGTCGTGCTGAGGTGACGTGTCCTCTGCGGCACCTCCGTGTGGACTTACGTGCCCGGTGCCGCCCTCGCCCAGTCCGCTCCCTCGCGCCGTTTCTAGTCCATCGCCCCCTCCCTCGGCCTCGGCCGCCACTGCTCTGCGCTGTCCAGTCGTGTTGCCTTTTGGGAAACTTCCCGCCCGTGGAATCGCGTTCCCACACGTCCTCGCTCTTTCCTTGTGACGGGTCGAGGCGCCCGGGTGCTGTGTGACCCGTGGTTTTTCCCTTGTTGTCCCGCAGCCTCCTCCCGGGGAGGAGGGGCCACACCCGCCCATGGAGCCGCCAGGACGGGCGTCGGGCATTTTCCGGTTTCACGCTCATTCGTTCGTTCGCGTGGAAGTCGCTTCTGGGGGCGCCTGGCGTTAGGGGAGGCGCTTGCTTTCCCTGAAGAAGCTGAGACTGTAGAGTGGCTGCTCGCTCCCTCTTCCCACCGCGGTTTACACGGTGTAACATCCGGCTCCCTCCCCTCTCACCGTCTTTTCCCTTCTCTTCCTGGGCAGTGGACGCCTGGACGCTGGCCTTCTCTCCCGACTCCCAGTACCTGGCCACAGGCACGCACGTGGGGAAGGTGAACATCTTCGGGGTGGAAAGCGGGAAGAAGGAGTATTCCCTGGACACGCGAGGGAAGTTCATCCTCAGCATCGCCTACGTAAGGGGCCACGCTCTTTCTGTGCGCAGAGCCCCGACGGGAAGTACCTGGCCAGCGGAGCCATCGACGGCATCATCAACATCTTCGACATCGCGACCGGGAAGCTGCTGCACACGCTGGAAGGTACGGCCGCTCGGCTCC